GATTGGAAAGGTCATTAAAACACGTGGGACTAGAGAATAAAAACATAGTTTTATCAGCCACAGTGTTTTATTGGATGCATTAGCTGAAGAAAGTTGGTCCTGATGTAGTGCAAGCATCAAACTAGTTGTTTATGAAGCTCGGATCTACTGTTGCGTGCCTGGTGAACTTATTTTTAATGTATTTATGACCACCTTGATTTGCTTTCAATCTTCTTGTTCCTTTAGAACTGTTTGGTACCCAACCTGGTCATTTGCTTTTTTGTTTGTATTTTCTCTCTTTCACTTATTTGTGGGCTCAATCGTATTTTAGATTTCTCCATTTGAACTGTTGCCATGTTTTTCAGCGCGAACGTTAGTATTCTTCACCTCAAATTGGTACCATAATAAATGCTTTTGATTTTTATGGTGTTTTGTTGTTGTGATTTTGTTTTTATTTTTCTGTTTTCTAATTTTGTGGGTGTACAAAACATAAGGTTTTTCTTCTATTTTTTTTTTCAAACTTCACTATATATGTATATCTTGCATTGACCTCACAATGCTTTTAGACACTACAGGATATTTTCATGAAAGCTTGTGTTCAAATGGGGTAGTTCTCAAAAGTTCTACTACTCTGATTTGGGGAAAAAAATGTCAATTTGCAACTGGCACAAAATACCAGCAAGTGTTCACATGCAACAAAAGTAAGATACATCAATTGGGCTATTGCAAGGTATGCACCCATTATTTGGCATTTGACCATTGGAAGTTAATGCTTTTATTTCCTAATGAAAGCAGTTTTTAAAGTTAGCATGTCAGATTTCTTTCAAATGTTTATAGAGAATTTGAACTGGTATATTTTTGTATCAGACCGAAACTTCTCCAACAATCATAATTTTCTGGTTCTTAGTTCAGTTTGTGTTATGTTGTGGTTAGCAATAAATATGTAAAATGACTATGAGTTTATTTCATGTGCTCATAAACAAAATGTCAAATAAACAATTGGTCGCACGTAATGCTACCAGACAAAAACTAGTTTGATATTTATAACAATTGGTTGCGCGTAATGCTACCAGACAAAAACTAGTTTGATATTTATTCCTTTGGGAGAAGAGTTTCTTATTGGATTGGTCCAAATCAATATAACAATTGGTCGCGCGTAATGCTACCAGACAAAAACTAGTTTGATATTTATTCCTTTGGGAGAATAGTTTCTTATTGGATTGGTCCAAATCACTAGTTTTGGGTTTAACTGATAGAAACTCAATGCTAAGAGATGAGTTGTATATCTAAAATGTGTAAGAAAATAGAGAAAGCTACTATGAATTCTTTTTTTTTTTTTTTTAGGAATGAAAATTTCATTTAATATCTGAAAAATCGTCCAAAACAAATTGAACAAGAGGAGCAAGATACAATTGATGAGTACAATCTTACATTTGATTGATAAATCATATGAATGTACTCGTTATGAATAAACCTATATAGATCTACCCACAAATCAGTATGTGAATGTATATCATACCAAATTAAAAATTCAGTCTCGAATACATCTCCTGAATTCTTGTGTAAAGCTCTAATCATCGATCTAACAAATAGATCAGTAGGTGATTCTCCTTAAAAGTGAACCGCAACAAAACACCGTGCACTTGAGTAACGGATCTGGATCCATAAACTGCAACTCACCGATGAATAAATTGTGATCTGCAATCCCAAAATGAATCCTTTACCGGAACCGCGATCCAATTGACTAAAAACAAACAAAACAAAAACAAATATGAATATAATCCACTTATTCTTCACAAGAAAATAAAAGTACTTGTTTCCTATATCTTCCATTAATGAAATTTTCATTAATGGAAGATGGGAGAATGATTGAGTATTTTAGGGTTTGAGGGGAGGGGTGGCAGCTGAGAGAAGAGAGAAAGGTTGTTTAGACTTTATATAAAAATTAGTTCAACAGTATAAATTATCATTTATTATTTTAAATTTTATTTAACAAAAAATTATTTTAATAATGGAATGTAAATCATTATATATATTAAAGGAAAGAAAGATAATCGACACGTGTCACTTATTGAGACCATCAAGTCTCATTTTTAACTTATTGTTATTTTAGCCCTTAAAGTTATATTTATGTGCTACTTAGTTTTCAAGTTTATCGGTTTTATATTTTCAAGGACGGTTAATTGTGTCTAATCCCCAAAGTCCCTTTGCCTATAAATAAGCCATAGGCGACATAATTTACGTATTTTTTAAATATATTTTTTTAATCCAAACATAACATTAGTTAGTGGTGATAATTTTTATTATACAACTTTTGAAAATCTTTGTTGTAATATTTTTGGCCAGATTTTATAAATATACATCTCATAAATAATATCAATACCTCTCATTTTGATCTAAAATCGATTAATCAAAAAATATTACGGGTTTAAGAAATATTAACAACTACATTATTTAATTAATTTGTTTAGAAGATAAATTTTCAACATTAACAAATCCACGCAAAGCGCGGGACACATACTAGTTAGCTATGAAAATGATCATTAACTTAAGATCGATGTACAACAAGGAAGAAGAAAAAGGGTAAAAATTACTGCAACACTCCATCAACTAAATCTTCTTCAAACAAAGCAAATTACAACTGAATTTAAATTGGCATTATACAAAGTGCATAATTAAAATACGATTTAACAGAAATTTAGCTTCCATCGTGAAATCTATTCAGTGAAGAAATAATGAAAAAAGTGTTTTAAAAAAACTACTGGAAAATGGCTTCTATAGAGAGAGAGAGAAAAAAAAATTCATATCTATATTTCTATATATCTATATATTACAGAAAGTCGGAAAGAGACAATGAAAATGATTTTTAAGGTGACACCTAGGATAAAATCTTAAGTACAACTAGATGCTTGGCTCAGGCAGATGCCCGGGCGCCCTCTCTACTTTAATTTGTGTTAATAGATAAATGAATTTTTTATTTGAAAAAAATAAAATAGCTACACATTTATTTTTTCTCTTTTTTAGCCAAAAATAAAAATAAAAATAAAAAATCATCTGCAAAAGAAGAAAAAATATTAAAAAGTATACCGATGCAGAAATCATACAAAAGAATGTGGAGTAATAAAAGGGATAAGTTTATGGACAAATTTAAATCCTATCTTAATTTGATTGATAAATAATAAGTGTTATGAGTTAAAATTGTGTAGATATTTTTGTAAATTAGCTTCTTTTTTTTTCCGGATAAGAAGTTTTTTTTTCTTTTAAAAAGGGATGACACGTGGCAGAATGGTTAAAGCAATATGGTGCATTTGGAGCCAAATTTTTTTAATAAGAAGTTGCCACATCAACATCATGTATTCTGCTTTAATAGGGTAAAAGGAATTTTCTTAAATTTTTAGACAAAAAACTTATTACAATTGTCTCTAGGGCCTCCAAATTGAATTTAAATCAAATAGGAAGAAATATAATTAGAATTAAGTGCACTTAATTACAAGAAAATTATAGAACTAAAATCATTATCACAATACTATAATCTTTAAAATTCTTTTTAATATTTTTTTATGTTGATGATTATTATATTATTGTAATTTTTCTTATGCAATTATAAAGTGTCGCATAAGATTTATATTCATTGCGTTTTTAAACTTTCTCTTAATTACCATCTATAAAATACTATTATTCCATAGTATACGCAATATTTTATTCATGATAACATCTTATTTATTTTTACCCATATAGTATTATCATTACTAATCAATAACTTCATTTGTTTATAGTATATTTAAATTTTTTATTTTTTATAAATGTGGATGAATGAACTCCATACATAGTGCCAGTTTAACATCTAGTTACAAATTTATAATATGTTTCTTAGGGATTGTGTAGCAGCATTTATTGGCTCCAGAAAAGCTTGCAGACACTTGATAAATTGAGTACAAATATTTTATATTAAGAGTAAAAATTTTTACAGTTGTCAATATTACCCTCATATCAGATTTTGAAGAGTTTATCCATTTATTCATCTTTAATTTTTTCTCTCCTTTGTTTTTTGGTTTCACATCTTTTTGCAACAATATTAAATTGCGACTTCTCAAATAAGAAAAAGAATATTACTTTTCTCAAATGTTGTTTACAGATTGAGATACCATAAAAAGTCTTCATTGAATTCTTCATAGTGGGACGTTTTATGTACTATTATTTGTTAAAAATATGAATTTTGGAATAAGCTGTTTCTTGTGTGTTGCATTAGGATTATTTCAGCTTGAATGTTAATGGTTCATCCTTGACTAATCAACAAACAAAATGTTGAGTTTATTTTAATAAAATTTTCAAAAGTTTACTTTATTTTATTTACTTCTTTAAGATAATTGCAGAGAGTAATTTTCATTTAAAAAACTAGAGTTTGCTTGGTGATTGTATTTTACTTATACATATTAGCTTTTTGGCGTTGTAATTTATTTCTTTCTTTAAGTAAACATGATTTTTCCCTTGTCGATGCTGAAAAAAGTTGAAATTAAGGAAATGAGAGAAATTCGAGGACAAACGAGTATGGTACATTATTAAAATCTTACATGAGAGTAATATTCGTAATTTATAAAATTTTGCAATTTTAACTTTCAATTTATCAGCTATCAAGCTAGCAAGCCTATCACCTACAAACATTACAGATGAATATATGTTGTTAACATTACCATCGGACGACTACAAATGAACATGATAAGTTGGGGAGAACGCTTAATGATATGGCCAGTTTATAGCTAATGAGAATTGTAAAACATCTGATTACTGATTAAGGCCATTTGTATGTGAGAGAGGTAATATGTTCTTGTCTTACCAAGAATCATATTTTCGAATATGTTAAAGTTTCATTAGGAACAAATTTTTTTTTTTATTTTTTATTTTGATACATTAACATTAGCAACAATTGTCACATGCATGAATACCACAAAAAACAAAAAATTATTATTTTCGTCCCATAATTATTGTCCAGTTTTAAGTTTTTATTTCTAATTCAAATTGTATTAAAAGTGAAATCTCAAACTGAACAATAATTTTGGGACAGAAGGAATACAAGTTTCTTTCTTTCTTTAAAAATAAAAAAGAAAGTTTATGCTACATGCCCATTTATTACATTTTCCGAATACATGAAAAGAAAAAACTCTAATAAATATCACAATGCAACCATAAAGGCTCATCAAATTTTCCAGTCAACTTATCACCTACTAATTGCGCATCCTTCAAATTCAACCTTTGTATATCAAATTCCACGTCACTGCCGCTCGGGTGCCATGCTGGCGTCCCATTCTCATATCCATTCCACGTCAGCCTCCTTAGCCCGGACCCGTCCACCCTAACCGCAAACAAATCCCCGTACGGCTGGTACTGGTTCGGAACCGACACTGGCTCCGCCGTCACTCCGGCCAAGTTGGCGGTGAACGCCAGCCACTCTGAGTCACCACTCCAGCATACATGGTTCAGCCTCTCTTGACTAAACCCATCTGTATCCTCCACACCTTCTAAACGGATCCTGCGTAAACCCGATCCATCTGGTCTTATCAAATACAGACTGAAGTGAGCCGGGTCAGCTGGATTATCCATATTTGATGAGAACGCAATAAGTTTCCCGTCAGGTGACCAGCTCGGCATCGTATCGATCCACGGCCCGTTCGTCAACTGACGGATGCTCCCGCCGTCGAATTCTCCGTTAACGGCGTCAATAATGTACAGGTTCTTGTGCCCCGAACGACCTGACCGGTAAACGATAAATCTTCCGTCCGGCGAGCAGGACGGGAAGGCATTATTGCTGGTTCCTTCCTTCGTTAGGAGTTTAGTTTCCGCCGGAATTTCCTCCCGGTCATCTGTGAAATTTGTTGCATCAAACGTGACCCGGGCAATCTGGACAGTCGTTTCCGACGACGCGAAAATGGGCCCGACTGATGTGAATATAACGTTATCTGCAACGGGGCTCCATGATACTGAAAATGTTGAGCGATTGACGGCTAAGAGCCATCTTCTTGACCCGTCCGATTTCAGGACCTTCAACCCGACTTTGGACTCGAGCTCGTGATTGAATCCGATGAAATTGCCGGAGGGTGAAAACGAAGGAAATGAACCGTTTATCCTTAACATCTTCAGCCCATTGACGGGAGAGCTTACTCGTTCAAGGTGTGGAATAATTGACTCGCCGTGCTGAACCGACTCGCCCCGGAATCGGTGGTACCCGAGAAAGGAAGAACTCGGAGAGAAAAACGGATTGTAGCAGTGAAAATTCGGGTTCAACAGTTCGGTGACGGGGTGGAACTTTCTGGATTGGATATCATAAATTTCGATGTGGCGGTAATCTTTTCCCCGCCGGCGAGTTGCAACGGCGATTTTGCTGGCATTGTGCATCGTCGCGGGGGTGAAGCAGTGAATCCCAGGAGGGGTAACCCGAATGGGTAAAAACGGAGCTCCAGAGAGCTCTGATTCAGGGGGCAGATCGACCCGGAAAACGCTCCACCATCCATCGTCGGCTTGACGGTGGAAATAGATGGTAGAGTCACCGGACCAAGTTGGCCAGCCTCCATGTTGGCAAACAGTAATCCGGGCATTCGGATCGGAATCTGGGAAGACAACAATATCCGTCTTCAATTCATGAAACTCACCTTCCCATGAACGAGACCCGTACGAAGCCACGGCAACCCATTTCCCACTACCCGAAACCGCCGGGCTGTAATCGACGGAACCCGGCGGCGTCAGCCGCCTAACCTTCCCTTCACCAAGCGGGGCCGAATGCAGAGCAGACCAACTCTTAAATGGCTTATCAGGCTTTTCATGAGCTGAAATGAAATAGAGTTTCTGACCTTTAATCGCTGGACGGTCGTGAAACAAACTGTCCGGCGGAGAAGGAAGCATCTCGGACCCGGGCATCATACCGGGTCGGGTCATAAACACTTGAGGCGAACCGGATCTCTCGGAAATGAAAACCAGACTTTCTTCATCGTCCACAAACTGGCCATTGTAATTAACAGAGACTCCATCAGTCAGACAGCGTTCATTGATGCAAGAGTCATCGTCGTCATCGTCGAAGAAGGTCGGAGGAAGCTTGACGGAGAAGATGTCGAAGCCGTAGTTACATCGGCCGACGGTGGAGAAAACGATGGTTCCGGTAGGCTCCATGCGTAGAGTACGACGGTGGGTGATAAAGCAAAACGGGGAGAGTATTGGAGAGAGATGTTGTGAAGCGGTGTTGGGGAAGTAATGTAGGAGTGGATTTCTGGGCATAAATTTGTGGATAAATACAGTGTTCGTGGCATTTTTGGCTCGTATAGGAGTGTGGATTGCTGCGTTTTTGCTAGTTTTACGACACGTCAGTATAAAAACAAATCCCACCCATCTGATTCTGTTCCTCTCTCCTCTTTATACCCCTTTTTTTTTCGGCTTTTGTTTCTATCTGCCTTGTTTTAGCATTTCTCATCTACATGCTGAATTAATATTTAACTAGATGCTTGGCCCGGATAGATGCCCGGACGCCCCCTCTAAATTACTATTTTATTAAAATCTAATTGAATTATTATTTTTTGAGGAATTAATTTGACGTATATATCATTTATGCTATGGTTTGGGGTTAAAAAAATACCTATAAATCTGAGGTTATAAGAGAATAATAAATAATTAGTTTATAAGGCATTATTCTTAATTGCTGGATTTAAGTATTTTTATTTTTTTGTTTATATTAAGCCTGCAAAACTATACGATTGGACATTTGAATTTGAATTAATATATCCATTCGTTTGAAATGTAGCTGATCCTTATTTGTGGTAAAACATGTGTTTTTTTTTAAAAAAAAAATTATATAACTTCTAATTAAAAGAGACTTACACGTGGCAAAAAGACTTCTGAAATCTGAAATATGATGCATTGGAGCCAAAACAGATGCATACATAGTTGCCACGTAAGCTTCATGTCTTCTACTTTAATAAGGTAAAAGGGATATACTCCTCCTTTTTATTAAAAAAAAAACATATTTGCATAAATAGTAGTAAAGTTTAAGGGTAATTAAATAATATTCACATTGCAGAAATAGTATTAAGAAAAATCAACTTAACACGCGTCAAAAATGGGAAAAAATTGTTTCGTTAAATGGTATTCCCCCATTCTATATTGTGGTTTTAGCACACTAGAAAAATTCTTAAGTGAAGAGTCATTTTCTGATTCTAATGTTATTTTTGGTTAACTTTTTTTTTTTCAAACTCACTCAAAAGAATTAGTATATTTTAGGTTGAAGGTACCCTTGTAATTTATCTATCATTTTTAAATATTTTTTAAAGTGTTTGTAAATTGTCTAATGATAACGATGAAAAACGATAGTGTAATTTCTTAAAGATTAAAATGTCTAAATGGTCCTTTACGTTTGGGCTTACTTGATTTTATGTCCCTAACATTAACATTTCAACATCGCAGTCCCAAACAATATGTTTTTACACTTTTTTGGTTCCATTTCACTGTTTTGACCACTTTTCCGTCCAACTCGATGTTGACCGGCAGTTGACATGCCGGAATCAGAGGTATTTTTATCTTTTATATAATTTAAACTTCCATTAAAATTTAAATCATTAAAAATATAATAAAAATTCACATTTATTATTTAATTGTTAAAAAATTATTTATTAATATAAAACATTATTTTAAAATTTTAAAATTTAAATTATTTTCAAAGTTACTTTTTTCTTTACTAAAATAAATGTTAATTATGTTGCACTTTTAACCGCCCACTGTAACTTTAAAAATTTACTGAGTCACAATAAATAATTCAAAATTTAAATTAAAAAAAATTCAAGATTTTTTACTTTGACAGCTACAATAAATCTTGAATTATTTCTAAAATTTTACCGCGTTATAATAATTAATTAAAAATTTTAATTTTTTTTAAAAAAAATGCAAGAAAATTGTGGGGTGAAAATTCGGATAAAAAATGATTTATTTTAGTTTTTGGCTTAGTTATTGCTTTGAATTGAAAATATAATTTAAACTGTGGTTTTAGTGAAAATTCAAAAAGTTGTTGGGATAGAAATTCAAATAAAAAAATATTATTTTTACACCACCATCAAAATCTCGCCGGGATCCGGCCGGCCGGTCGCCGGCGGTCCGGCAGCGGGCGGCGTCGGTGGTGGTGTATAGATAATATTTTTTTTATTTAAATTTATATCCCAACAACTTTTTGAATTTTCACTAAAACCACATTTTAAATTATATCTCCAATTCAAACTATAAATTAAATAATGTAAGTTTTAAATTTTATAATAATATTTTAAATTAATGAATAATATTTTAGTAATTAAATAATTAAATGTGAATTTTATGATATTTTTAATGATTTAAATTTCAATGAAAGTTTAATTAAGTCAAAAGACAAAAATACCCCTGATTCCGGCAAGTCAATTACCGGTCAACATCGAGTTGGACGGAAAAATGGCCGAAACAGTGAAATAAGACAAAAAAAGTGTGAAAATATAATGTTTGGAACTACGATATTAAAATATTAATGTTAGGGACGTAAAATCGAACAAGTCCGAATACAAGGGACTATTTGGACATTTTTACTCTTTCTTAAAAGATCAACCATCAAACTCGATAACTGTTAATCTTAGAATACTTTTCGAACAAAGTGATCTCCCAACCTTAAACCATATTTAATCCCACACACGTTGTGAATGATAAAAATCCATTCATAGTACGTTTCCGAGTTTTTTTTTTAAAAAAAAAAGAGAAAAGAAAAGAAAAAAAAGAGTAGAGAAATCGAACTTGTGTGTTTCAGCTGTTTTGAGTTCTTTAGACACAAAGAAATGCACGTATAATATTGAGTCAGTTATACATTTCAATATTTATTTAGTACTACCTCCGTTTTAAAAAAAAAATTAGTTCACATCGAATTTTCAAATTTATATTAAAAACAGTATAAAATTCAAAACTCAATGATGAATTATTTTTATGGGACGAAAAGAGTACTCCTTCCGTTCCATAATTATTGTCCACTTTGCCCAAAAAATTTTGTCCGAAACTTATTGTCTAATTTGACTTTTTATGGATCAAGTTACACATTTGTCCTTAGTAAAAAACATTATCCATAAAATATTTGTGGTTAAACAATTACTTATGTAGGGATATATCCAGTTATTCAAAGTAAAATATAGTTAAATTTGACTAAAAATAAAATCTTTTATTTTAGTAAAACTGGATAATAATTATGAGACAGAGGGAGTATTATTTTTCTAGCTAACGAACTAATTCAAAGATAAACTAAAATCCAAATTGGCATGAAGGTGTAGCTAAATATATTAAAAACATGACTATCACAACGACTAGCTAAATAAATCTTATGATTTCCGAACTATCACTTATTTCTAAAATGAATATTATTATTTTCTCTGGTGTTTTGGCTATATATATTAGTACAGTATAAAAAGAAACAGAAATAAAACAAAATACTAAAAGTAAAATTCAGCTCATTCTCATAGCCCATGTCATCAATTTTTAAAAAGTGTTAACAGTTCATTTACGGTGAAGTAATTTTTCTTCTGACGGTTTAGCCCTTCCGCCTTATCCATATTATCGTCTCTCCCAAGCAGACCAAAGAAACAGAGCCAGAAGAAAAAAGGCCTAACAGAAACAGTAAAGAACACAATAGCAGAGAAGAGATAATAACGATGATGAGCTTATCAATTTCTTCGCCCAGCAGCGTGGGATTTCCTGGGAAGCTTAATCTTACTAAATCTTCATTTCATGGGGTGCGCATTTCCCAAATGTGTCCCGCCATTAATGCTCCGAGCTCATCCAGTATGAAGGCTTCTTATTCGTCTTCTAGAGTTGTAATGATGGCGAAGAAACAAGAGGAATTGAAAGAAGTTAGGGCGAAGACCACCGAAGAGCTTAACGAGGAGATTGTGGACTTGAAAGGAGAGCTTTTCATGCTGCGGTTGCAAAGGTCGGCTCGTAATGAGTTCAAATCCAGCGAATTTCGTCGAATGCGCAAAAGGGTATGTTTCGTTTCGATCAATTTTTGGTTCTTTCTTTGTACTGGAATGTCCTTTTTATGTTGAAATGATTTGAAAATACACTTGTACATGTTTTATTCGGCATAATGCCTCGCTGAGATTTTATTGCCCAGACTGTTATGATTTACGTTGTTCTCTTAAGCTTTGTTAGTGATCAATTTGAATGATAATGTAGATTAATGAGAAGTTATATTGAACATTTCTCAGCGGTGAGGCTGAACATGTGATCTTTTCATTTGGTATCAAGTTCAGGTAGTTTCAACCATCTTCAATGTGTGGAGATGTAGGCTGTGGCAAATGTTTGGCCCTTTTTTAATTCTCAATAAACTGTCTCATTACCGAACTGAATAGTTAGGATTGCCATAAATGACATCTGATGGTTTATTGGGGAAGGTTTCCCATCAAAAGATGAAGATATTCAATGCTATTATATGGCTGCAATGGAGATTCATAAATAGGTCCTTAGCTTCTCCTTTGCACGGTATACCCCTATGTGGTAAAAAGGAAACCTTTTAATCAATGTTTTTCCAATCCTGGTTTCTCTTTGACATGTTGAGTGTTTTTGTACAGTGAGTAAGTTCTTATTGGATGTTGGAAATAATTTGCGTTCAAAATTGCTCCTGTTGTTCATTTTCTTTCGATGGTGCTCTCTGCTGAAAATCATTAATAGTCAAGGTTGGCCTTTGCTCTAGTTTTCTTCTTCCCTTAAGTTGCCTTGGTCCTCCAAAAAATAAAGTCACTAGGTCATTGGTTTTGGACTATAGTAGTTGTCATCCAATACATATACCTGCATTTCAAAAATGTCTTCAACATCGCACTAATGAGTCAACTGATGGTAGAACAAATGGATTCTAGTTAAATATAAGTGTAGTTTCTCAAGTGGAGAAGTTTCTTTACCGTACTAGTTCAACTATATCTGCCTCAACTAGTTGCTTTCCCAAACTCGTTCAAGTTCACTTTCTTGTCTATGCGTTTCATATCAATAAAAATTATGACTGGTTGGATGATTTTTTTGCTGTTGAGCTTTTTTGCCTTCATGTAGACGTGCTAAATAAGTCTTAAATTTGTGTAGCTTCATTTCTTCCTCCGATTATTTACCTCCTTGAAATATTCAAAATATGCTTTAAGGTCTTTTCTTTTGTCCTGTATTACTGTTGGAAACTAATATTGTTAACAGCATATTATAGTCATTTTTGAAGTTATAGTAAAAATGTATAATGGATCAAACATGTAGATGGTGATGTCTGATTGAGTCTTCTATGACACTGCAGAGTGCAGATCTCAAAATGTAATATCTAAATGGCTCGATTTTTGAGTGTAATTTTAAGTTATTTACAGTATTTAGTCTAGGATGGCAATCTGTCTAGATTTTTTTTCTTGTTATTTGAATTTACGGTATCTCGGAACTTTCTTGGCAGTTCTTTTATTTATATCATGCATTTATGTTGGATGTGGAAAGGAATTCTGGAAACTAGCTTCTTCTGGTCACATTTTCTGTGAAGAAAGGATGTTATAAATGAAATGTTCGGGTAACAGCTAGTTTAGCAACTGTTAGGCTGAAAATTTAGTTGAACTATTTGAAACAATGATGAATCTTGCTGTTTTGTAGTACACAAAGTAGAGAAGCTATTTGATGACTTGATCATGGAAGTTTGATCTAAAGCTTGTTTCTGTTCATAACGGCGTTGGGTGGTTGATCCATTAAGGCTTTTTTTTTTTGTCAATATGAATGTGCGCCACCAAATCTCTGCTTATTGTTATTTGTCCTGGTGTAGATGACAAGAATTCTGATTGTGTTTTTTGTTTTATCAATCTGTTACCTTTAAAGATCAGCGAATACAGTGTGTGTATTGTTTCTCCATTTAGTCTTTCCCATGTTTCATAGTAACTATACTTCACAAATATTTTGTCCATTATGCACCTTGAAAGTGTCCACTCCATAAATAGAGCTGTTTTTCCTCTCAACTCAGGTCTACCTTGTTTTTGGCCTTTCTATTATATGTGTTCTGTAACAAATGCACTTGCTGTCATTGATTGTAGATTGCTCGTATGATGACTGTTAAGCGCGAAAGAGAGATTGAGGAGGGAATCAACAAGAGATTGTCCAGAAAGCTAGACAAGAAGTGGAAGAAAAGCATTGTTCCTAGACCCCCTCCATCTTTGATTAAGCTGCGAGAAGAGGAGGCAGCAGAAGAAGCAAAAGAAGCGAAGGAAGCAGCAGCTTGAAGAAGTAGCAAATGATCCCTTTATGCTCTTATATTCTACCAAATTGTCACCATACCAGTTCAATGTAATTTATCAGTATGAAATGAGCAATTTTTGTTTAGGAAACTTGCATTAAATGTAGCTCTTCTGATCATTCAGCCTCCCAAGTATTCCCTTTATATTTCTTGATCAAAAGTAAAAGTAAGGTTTTTTAGCCATTAAGCAGGTCTATATTAAAGGAAGTACCAAATCATGAAGCAACTGATATGTGTTTGGAACTCTGATTTTAAGCACACCCAAAGATGTTTTTCTTTTTATTTTTTTAAATCCTCACCATATATTTTAACATTCCCGATACAAAAAATAAATAGATGTCTTCCTATAGGTTGTTTCTTCCAATACCAAAATAAAAAATTCAAATTAGATTATTAACATTAAAATAATGAACTATTTTATTACGATTATATAACATACATCGAGCCTAATTGTGGACGATTATATAACATACATTGAGTTTAATTGTGATGAAAATACCTCGCGGGCTTTATTTTATTTTTTTTTCACTAACATTACGCTGATTTAACTTTTTATTTTGCTATCAAAAGAAAAAAACAATAGAAAGAGTACACATAAAATTTCAATATACAATTACAAGTGCATAAAATCGTCTTAACTAGACAACTACCATCAATTCTTCTTTTTAAATTCGTGATAAATTTTTAATTTTTTCAGAAAACTGTTTTTCCGCATACAGTATTTACTATTTAGGATCCTGGCACGAAAATCACCGGTGAGTGTAAAATAATTTTGTGAAATATTATATTCAACTCTGAATTAAGGAGTATAATAAAAAATTAGATGTTTGCCTGGGCGTGCTGCCTGTATTTTTAAATCGATTAAATAAAAAATACGAATCATTCTTAAAAAAATAAAAAAAATAGAAGAATAAAAAATCGATTGAAATGACAGAAAGTGACTTATTATACATAAATCTATGCGCAGATTTATAACATTTAATTTACAGCATTTAACTTATGCCCGGTTTACATAAATCATAAATCAATATCTACAACAGAAGAATAAAAAAAAATCATCCTTAAAAAATCAAATTTCTTTCATGACAGCTTATTTTTTCTCTGTTGTAGAAATAGATGGATTGATAATTAATGTCAGATTTTAAGTAATTGATTTAAAGGTCCGGGTGTGAGAGAGGAGTGGAATGTAAGATATTTTTTGAAATTGGGGATTGGGAAGATATTATTGTATTTCACCTGATTTAAGGGGATTTCCTTACATTTGATTTTATTAATTAAATATTGTTGTTTTAAGAGATTAGTATATACCTATAATTAAGAGATTTTTATGTAGTTATAATTAAGGGATTTATATATTTATCTATTCTAGTTTTTTTCTGATTAGTTAAAGTACCACTTATCAACAATGATTTTGTACTAAAAATGACTTTTGACAGGAAAATTTTGATTGTAATACTGAGAGATGTCTTTTTTTTTTTTGCTGCTTTAATTAAGTACTGTAGATAGCGCAGAAAACTGAAAACACAGAGTAAAGTGAAGCCCATGACGGAAATGGAGGAAGACAACCTTCCGCCACCAAATTCAAATCTCGCCACCGCTCCCAAATCTCACTCCGAAGATGAAGCCCTCCAAAGAAAGCACAGCGCAATGTTGGAGCGCCTCTCCAATCTACACCAAACCCGCCTCGCTCAAAAACCCAATTTGGAGCTTTCCACGCCTTCTAATGAATCCACTCAGTCCTTTCTTAACCGCTTCAATGAATCCAAACTCGCCGTTGATTCCAAACTCTCCGGGATCTCACAAATGATTCCGGACGGTGATTCTTCAGACCCCGGTTCGGTGAAATCTGAGCTAGATTCCGTGGTTGTTTTGATCTCGAACCTGGAGAAGCTTGTGGCGGAAAGTTCATATTTTTTGCCCTCTTACGAAGTTCGAACTTGCCTCAAAACAATCTCCGATCTCAAACAACAACTCGATGATGTGACCTCCCAAGTCATCCCCAAGAAGAAATTCTCTTTCAGGAACAAAAAGAAAGGCGGCCCGGTTTCCAACCCAGCTCGTTCTGATGTCGTGGACTCAGTTGTTGTCAAGCCTGTAATTGGGATAGCAAATGTGGGTCTGAGTGGGTCTTTGGAATCGTCAAATGGGTTCAGGGCTAAAGAAAATGAGGTTTTGGTTAGGGAATTTCAAAGGGATTCAGGGATTGGGGAGTTTAGTATATCGGAGTTGAATGGCTGCGTGGTGAAATTAAAGGGTTGTCTGCGGGCTCTTTTTGTGAATAAATTGAGGGATTGCAAGGTTTATGTTGGCCCTGTTTTGGGTTCTGTTTTGATAGAGGAAGTGGAAGGATGTGTCTTTGTCTTGGCATCTCATCAGATAAGAATTCACAGTGCCAAAAGGTGTGATTTTTATTTGAGGGTGAGAAGTAGGCCTATAATTGAGGATTGTAATGAGGTGAGGTTTGCACCATATTGTTTGAAGTATAATGGCATCGAAAAGGATCTTGAAACGGCTAATTTGAGTGAAGAAACAGGGTATTGGTCCAATGTGGATGATTTTAAGTGGTTGAGAGCTGTGCAGTCGCCGAATTGGACAGTTTTGCCCGAAAAAGAGCGTATAGAGATGGTGGATATATCTGTATTTGAAAACGTGAATGTACTGTGATCCCATTGTCGGTTCCTCTTGATTGAAATTTCGGCTGTTATACATCCTTAGTGGAAGAGGTAACTTCTGAATTTGTTTACCATTGGACTTTATTTGCTAATGTAAAATTAGAGTCAGTAGCATTTGAAGTTATGATAGATTGGTTACTTGCTGTAAGCTGAAAACCTGAGACAGATCTTATCAATTCAAATTGTGGTTTTGTGATAATGTGCCTTCTGGATGTAAAGCTACTGTTAGTTCCTGGATTTGCATTAGTTCATTAATTTTGTTGATTTGTCCTCATATATTATGGTTTTATAAGGAGTAATGCTGGTAGTATCATTAGAGCATTTCATTTTACCAAGTTATGACTTTTGGCATCATGCATTTGGTGAAGGATGTTTTTCTCCTGATGAGCCTGAGGCCAAAGACATAAATGGACTTTTATTTTAGTTATTCAACATCCTTATTCTTTCCTCTATATCTTTTGGGTGTTTTTCTGTTGAAGCAATACTGAGAAGTGTTCTCTTTATTCCTTCCCCCGTTTCTTTTGGGTGTTCTTCTGTGGAAGCAATACTGGTGAGCTTGGTTTAAGCTCCTGTTTGCTTTAATCTGATAGATATCTTGTAGAATTTTCCCATTTTTGTGAAATTGAGCCATTAGTGGTCTTCAAAAGGCAGATGGGAGAGGAAAAGCATATTAGCACGCCATATACAATAATGCCTTGCTCTCACTGACTGTTCTTCAAGTTTACTTTTGGCCTTGTTGCTTCTGCTGAATTTTCACTTGGATTCCACTTCCAACAGCTTAGATAGTTTGTGCATATTGCAGATGTAGTCTTCCTTCATTAAATTAATTGCATCTTGGTATTGTAAGAATTTGTTCCTTCTAAGCAGTCATTTTTTATTTGTTCTAAATGCAGAGACATAGATTCCAGTGGTTTGTCAAACTTCTACATGAACAGAGGGCATATAATTTTGCTTGCATCTTGTTGTCTTCAGTTCATCACATTGGAGCCGTATCGTTATTAGAAATGAACTGGAGAAGTAAAGACCGTTCAGGAATTTGATGGACAAAAAAATAGTTTAGGTTACTGTGCTAGATGAGGGAGCTATACAAGACTTGTAAGTGAGACTTCTTGGCAGCTGAAAGCATTCTCTATGTTTACCTTCCTCAGCTGCGGCGATGGACTTGATAATTGTCTTAATGTCCAGAGTAGCGCAAAGAAATGGTTATAAGAATTGCCCATGCTTCCCTCTTTTCTCTATTTTTATTTTATTGTATTATTTTGTTTTGGTGATTCATTTTAGAGTTATGTACCATAGGAATGGCAAATTATGTGACTTTGTCATTGATGCCCGAAGTTTTTGTATGTCGAGACTTTTGCAGCATAGTTAGGTTATAAAGCTTTCATGTTTGTCTATCTATATTTCTCTTTAGTTTATGAAGTTTCCTGGTAATTTCTGCTGATGTTAGATTCCAGCTATCTCTGAACCCATAAGCATTGATATTTTCCCCATCTTTCCATTTGCATCCTTGGCGTCGCTTCATTCCAGCTACTCATTTGTTGAATTGTAGGCATTGAAATCCATTATTTTGCAACTAATCCAGACTTTAAGACTGAAGTCAAAGATTCTTTGATCACTTATAACCTGCAGTTGATAATATATATTAGATTGGGGATGTTGAATGCTCAGGTTAATGATTTTTCAACTTCAGGATTGTCAAATTCTGGGTCCTCAGTCAGAAATTGTTCTCTTGATCCCACCAACCAACACTTGGGTTAGGACCTTCACGTAGTGACCGTAACCATCAGATCAGCTGGCATTTTCCATTAAAGAATTCTTGAGCAGGATATTTTCTAGTTTGTATGACTTATTCAACCATGGACACGGTCAATAGTTTCTTGGTTTATTAAATTAGGTCTAGTTAAAGGCTACTTTGATTTCTTTCTCTCTAAGTGCTGAGATGCATGGTTTTCTTCATGTGTCAAGGTGAACAGCATATGCATATATGGTACTTGATGTGCAAGTTGCAGGTACCTGTTTCTTTACAATGGTTGTTGAAGAGTATCAGGGCGAAAGGTATGCCTCAGTACAATTTTATATAGCACGCTCTTTTGTGATTAAGATTCATCATTCATACCCTCCTTTGTTGGCTCTATACTCAATAAATGGAAGGAACAATCTCCTGCTGCAAATTCAGTCGTTGCCTATGCTGTCTTTACTGGCATTATTCTCTTTTCTCTTCTTGCCTGTATATCTTTGACGATAGTTTGATCTCATTTTCATATTTACTGAATTTTGTTTTGTTTTGGCTGTTCGAATTTTGGTTCATTCAAAGATGGTAACTTTAAAAGGTAGGTAGTTAGGAAGAAAGAAAAGATATGTTGTGAGAGCCGAAGAGGCCATTGTTAATGACTTGGAATGCAAGTGACGGTATCATCTAAGCCTTTTTGTTTTATTGATACCCTGGATTTGGGATATGATAATAATGATCATAATCGGTTGGAATGAGACCAAGGTAGAGATATTAAGTGAGGTAAATGAAAGAGTGAAGTACAATTTGTACTGATGGTACAATTTGACTCAGTGGCGAGTTCCATTTTCCCGGGTTAGAAAAAAAGGAATACTCTCTCTTTTCATCTCTTCTATTTGAACTAAAACTGATTATTTCCTGAGTTTTTTACGGAAAAAATTATCAAAGGAAGTACCTGAACAAAAATAATTTGAAGAGAAATAAGGTGGACAAAAGTAGATGTCTCGGATTCGCCAAATCCGAGAGACACAAAGAGTTGGATTTAGCAAATCCAAGAACAAGACAACTCAGATTTGTTTAATCTGAAAGTCGTCCAAGCTGAAATTAATTAAATTTAACTAAATGATTAATTAAAAATTAACCAAGTTTTGGATTTGACAAATCCGAAGGTTTTAATAAAAAATAATTTATATTTTGGAAAAAAAAAATCTAAGTGTTTGAAAATGAAATTTGACTAGAAACGGATCAGCCAAATTCGAGACAAAGTATTTCAGATTTGAGAAATCCGAGTTGTTGAATAAAATATTATTTTAAATTTCGAAAAAAAATTCCAAGTGTAAAAAATAGATAGGAGAGGTCTCGGATTTGGCAAATCTGAAAGGTCTGCAGAATATGCGGAACCCTCGGATTTGCCAAATCCGAAAGAACCCCAAATAGTATCTAACTTGAAAAAAAATAATGGAATAGTTTTCACTAGTTCTAACCCCAACAACCAATTCATAACAAACTAATTCAATAACAAAACGATCACATTTTCATCACAAAATAATGTAATATTCTCAACTAACAATCCAAAATCATTCAAAAACACTACGAAAGACTAATCAACAATTATTTTTCCTTCTCCTAGGAATAGTGGGCGGGTAAATTTAATCAGCGGGTTGCGCGGCCTGTCGGATTTGCAAACCCCTTGTTCCCGCGGCTCTGGACGGATTGTAAGAATTGGCTCCATATTTAGGACTTACGATTCTCCTCCGATAGTAATGGTGAGAGGTACCTCTTCTTCATGTGGAGTGTAAGATCCTCCCAAAGAACCAACATCGTCCTCTCTTCTCACATTGTCTTCTCCCATTTCCTCCCCTCTTCCCACATTCTTTCCTCTTGGGTTCTCTTGCTCGTGTTAGCCTGAACCTTCCGCGTGATCCTGTGATGGCCTGAAAGGATTCCTTCGCTTTCTTCCCCCTTCAATTTTATCTCTTGGCCACGGCTTCATTGTTTCACCACGCGGACCTGGTGAGGGGCGACTCGTATTATATTTCACAAGGATTTGGGAATCTTCAATTCTCATCTCATCATCCTTTCCGAGAGTTAAAGCAGTGCGGGTTACGTCCGCGAAATAGCCGAGCACCTTTTTGAGCTCGTCATCTAGGTCATGGGCTATACGACGTTCTTCTCGGAATGATATGGCCCTCAAACAGACATTGTTCAGCACTTCACCCTGGAAATCAAATAATGCGTTAACTAAAGGAGTATAATTCAAAATTTATATGAATAGAGTAAAATGCACTTCTATACATAGATTAATTGAAAATAAACACTTACATAGACTTTCACCCGGCTCGAGGAAGCCTCATATCCGGCTAATGAGGAGTGACTCGGATCGCTTATCAATTTCACCGAACCTTTGTTATGCCACGCTTCGTACTTCTCATTAGTTTGACCGGGCTTCCCTTCCTCCAAATCCGTTGGAATGTTTCGGGCTCTCCTATTCCAATGGGGGCGTACTTTACTATGGTATTTCACCCAATTTTTCTCAGTAAGCCCAGACATGTTGTGTTCGTGAGCATTTATATTCTCTTGGATATTGACAATCATAGGCTATCGGGGAATTCCTTGAATGTAGCCAAACTGTCTCACGATCCTGTCAATTTCGTGAGGTTCTCGGATAGCCAAGTAGAACATCCACGTCCTTGCCATCCAAATGGCACTTCCATGTTTACAACAATCAGGGAGGGTATGGAGGAGATCTTCGTAGGGTTGCCAAACAAACTGTGAAAAAATTGGAAAAAACCGGCTTAATTCACAAAAGAATGGTGGGAAAAAAAAATAATAAATTGAGAACCTTTTCATGCTTACATCACTGGCTTTTAAGGCGGTCAATTGGTCTCTAAAACCAGGGAGACTAGACCTTGGGACGTCCTTGTAGGAATATGAGCAATTCCACCTTTCAATACAAAAAAAAAAAATCAAAGATATTATTTATCCAATAAAAATAATAAAAATATTAGTAATTTTTACCTTAAGAGCATAGGAAATAAACTCACCGATAAGCTAAAGGAGCTGTATGATCCTCTTCAAATCTCTTTAAAATTCTTTGGGGCATGATTCTCGGGATCCGCTCATATGCCCAAACCTAAATCAATAACAACAACAATAAATAATAATACTTCACAATATAATAAATGTTTTTCAACTTGAATTGTCACGTATTGAATAAATAAATACCTGTAGAGGATACACACAACCGGTTACATCACGTTTCTCATGAGGATACACACGGCACATGCTAGAATACAAGTAAGCAAGTACAGCCGATCCCCAACTAAGTTTTGCACAATATTTAAAATCCCCCAAATAGTTCAATAAATATAAACCAATACTGTTTTGGCTTCTGTCCGGAAACATAAAAGAACTCATAAACCACAAGAGAATTAATCGGTCCCTGTGTTGATACACGACCTCCGGAGAACTTACAAAAACAACACTTCAAACCGTAATATTTGTTTGGCCAAAAATGTAATTAATACAAATTATATTAAAAAATATAAATAAATTTAAATATTACCTTCAGGGATTACACGTTTTGCCGCTTCCTCTACAACCGAAATCTTAAGAGTATTTCCACTTATTCGACCCTTGGCAGGGGTGAATCCCAACATCTTTTGGCAAATTGATTGCCATTGCGCCACACCACAGTTTGGCGCCACAATACAAACCATGTCCCTATCGACCCAGAGACCAAATAGGACTTCCACTACACATCAAGTCTCGGGATTAGTACTCTTAAGTGTTTCAATATACCTACACATCAAGTTTGCTCGAGTTAAATATATGCCAATACAAGTAAAAACTAAAACAAATTAATTGACATTTATCAAAATTGAAATTTACCTAGGAAGATCTACAAAATTGGAGGACCAATCGCCATAAACTGTCTCTATGGCTTTTCTCCTCCCGTTCCACGCCCTTTTTGTAGGGGATATCAACTTTTACCAACTCCTTCACATCTTTTTGCACCGATTTTACCGTGTAATCCACGTTATTCACAACCTTTCTCATGATTAGTCTAGCAATGAACGCCGAGTCAGTACAACGGTTGTCATTATCGTTAACCACCCTCATGCAATTGTGTGCGGACCGCCATTTCACTATTTGATGCAACCCATGCTTTCCTAGTGACACGCAGATCCTCCATTTGCATATAGGTTCGCCATCTTTGGGGGGGGGGGGATCTAATGTCCTACATCGAACTGCCCACGTCTTATGATTACTCGCGATAACCTTTAACTCCCTTTTATGGTGGATGTTCCACAACTTCACGGCATGTTTCACTTCTCCTTGTGACTTGAAACAAACTTTAATGCCCATCCCTTCAGGAGTCTCGTCCCACATTTTTATATTAAGATCATCCTTGTAAACACGCGTCGCATTCCATTCACCCATTTCCTTATACACATGGCGCCAGAGAAATGGATTTAGTTCTATTTCTTCATTCACCAATTTTTCATGATCACTTTCATCATCAGCACTAGGATCTCGTGCTTCCGAGCTTTCGCTTGGAGCTTTGTAGTCGGAATCATTATCATCCATGTGATCATCTTCTGCAAACAAACTTCCACCATCTTCTTCATGAACCCATGAAGTACTTGCTTGTTCTTGCCTTGGACCATCTTATTCACCCTCATCCATGTGATCATCTTGTGCAAAGAAAGAAAGATCCACCATAATGATTGTTCCCATCTTCTTAGTTAGTGATA